TCATGCTCCTTGGATTATTTACAAGCGGTATTCAAGCGCTTATTTTTGCAACTTTAGCCGCGGCTTATATAGGTGAATCCATAGACGATTATCATTGAACTCGTTGGTTCGTTTTTTTTAACTTAAACCCAAGACATATTCCTCAAAATGTAAAGTGTGTTTCTATTATTGATTTCACGAGGGAGCTTTTTATTAATATTTCAATTTATTATTTACGTGAAGAACTGAGAAAATCAAAAATAAAATATCCTTCCGTTACATTACTTACCAATTCTAGTCACTAGAAAAATCCCACTGCATTAGATTGTATCATTAACGACTTTATTATTTACCACGAATTTATTATGAATCCAATTATTTCTGCTGCTTCTGTGATTGCTGCTGGCTTTGCCGTAGGACTTGCTTCTATTGGACCTGGGATTGGTCAAGGTACTGCGGCGGGTCGTGCTGTCGAGGGGATCGCTCGACAGCCTGAGGCGGAGGGAAAAATACGAGGCACTTTATTGCTTAGTTTAGCTTTCATGGAAGCTTTAACAATTTATGGATTGGTTGTCGCATTAGCTCTTTTATTTGCGAATCCTTTTATTTAATATTTTTATTTTTGTAGAAACAGGAGAATTTGTTTTTTTAAATTATATCGAGATCGTATGAGCCGACCAATGATTGCGCCGATCTTTTATGTTCGTCTTTGAAAGGAATTGGTCTGCTAATTCGTTTTCAATTGATTCCCACATTTTCAGAGTAAAATAGGGGCTCCCTACTAAAAAAAATAGTTTGAGGATAATTTATGAAAGACGTAACCTATTATTTAATTTCTTTGGCCTCCCAATCACCTGCTGGGAGTTTTGGCTTGAACACTAATAATTTAGTAACAACTCTTATAAATATAGCTGTCGTACTTTCTTTATTGATCGTTTTTGGAAAGGGGTTTTTAAGGGATTTTTTAGATACTCGAAAAAATAGGATCGTAAACACGATTCAAATTTCAGACGAACTCTATAGTGGCGCTGTTGAAAAACTAGAAAAAGCCCAGGCGCGTTTATGTAAGGTTGAAAAAGAAGCGAAGCAGTTACGAGTTACTGGATATTCTGAAATAGAACAAGAAAAGTTGAATTTGATTAATTCAACTTATAAGACCTTAGAACGATTGGAAAAAAAAAAAAAAGAAACTTGTTCGTTTGAACAACAACGGGCCATTAATGACGTCCGACAATGGGTCTTACAACAAACCTTACAAAGAGTTTTAAAAACTCTGAATGGTTCTTTGAATCCTGAGTTGCATTTACATACAATTCGTGTTAATATTAGTATGTTGGGAACACTCAAATAAATAGTTTATTCCTATTTATTTTTGATTGTATCTATTGGGTTTTACAAATAAAAAAGAATTAAGAAAGAATCATGGTAACTATTCGAGCCGACGAAATTAGTAATATTATCCGTGAGCGTATTCAACACTATACTAAAAAAATAAATATTTTAAATACC